CAGGTATTGCCAGAAAATACTCTCAGTGTTCTGGCAGGATATAAACACAGTGAAGATCAAATAACCTACAAGCCTCAGAAAAATCAGACCGGTTGTCCAAATGATAAATAGTTGTTAATCTTTTCAGAAACTTCATGGCCTCTTTAAAGAGATCTAGACAAGCAAATCTATCAACAGGAGATAAGTTTTCTGCCCCTCTAAATTTGAAGAGCTCTGAGGTGCTTTCTGAAGGAAGCTCTATATATGAACTGAAATATATCTGTAGTTCTTCCAGAAGGTCAAATGCTTTAACACTGCAAGGCTTCCTGCTCTCAAAATGCCAGATTTAAACTGAGAATTAGTTCACATTTCTGTGCTAGAAAAGTGATCTGTACTTTCAGCTGCGTACACTTATCTGGGTCATTCAGCATTTTCTGAATAATTTGTACAGAACTGAGGAGCTTCTTTATTAAAGAGCTCTTTGTAGAACTGGAAGTTCTTAAGAGTGATACTGAATAGCACTAAACCAGCTGTTCCAGTGTGTTGCATCTGGGCTAGGATTATCGGCTATATGGGATAGGGATATAAAGGACTAGTTGACAGGATAGTTGACTAATCACTCACCCCCGCCTTGCTGCCTCTATCAGATAGAGGCAGCAAGGGGGGCACTTTAAAAGCAACAGCACCACAGAGCCCAGGGCTAGCTGGGGAGTCCCCAGCTGACCCAGGGCTCAAGTGCATGCTGCCACTTTGAAATGCCAGGTGGAGCCTGGGATCAGATGGAGACTCCCCAGCTGACCCTGGCCTCCGTGGTGCTGGGAAGCACCCACATGGAGCCCGGAGTCAGCGGGACTTCCCCCTGGCCCTGGGCACCACGCAGCATTCCAACTTTGAAATACACAAGAGCCTCCACTGGGGCTCTCGTACATTTCAAAGGCAGAACACGGAAGTGCTTATTGACTAGTCGAGTAGTTGATGGAAATTCCATCGACTACTCAACTAGTAAATTAATCACTAGTTCACATCCTTACTCTTGGGCTACGTCTACACTGGCCCCTTTTCCGGAAGGGGCATGTAAATTTCACTAGTCGGCGTAGGGAAATCCGCGGGGGATTTAAATATCCCCCGCGGCATTTAAATAAAAATGTCCGCCGCTTTTTTCCGGCTTTTAAAAAAGCCGGAAAAGAGCGTCTAGACTGGCCCCGATCCTCCGGAAAAAGTGCCCTTTTCCGGAGGGAATAAGAGCCTCCGGAAAAGGGCACTTTTTCCGGAGGATCGGGGCCAGTCTAGACGCTCTTTTCCGGCTTTTTTAAAAGCCGGAAAAAAGCGGCGGACATTTTTATTTAAATGCCGCGGGGGATATTTAAATCCCCCGCGGATTTCCCTACGCCGACTAGTGAAATTTACATGCCCCTTCCGGAAAAGGGGCCAGTGTAGACGTAGCCTTGTAGTATCTGGGCTCATGAAACGGAGGTACCTTGCTTTCCTACTACCAGTTATGTTTTTGAAACATCTTACAAATGCATCAACCAGCTGAAAAGACTATCTAAATGATTCACAAATTAAGTTACCAATGTGTGCCAAACAGGTTATATGCCCAGAATTTGGAAACAGTGTCGTAAACACAGAATCAAATGCCTTTTTCATGTAACTAGCGTTGTCACTCAGTATCAATTAATACATTTCACAATCAACTTGGTACTCATTTACAACTACTATGACTACAGCCTGTGAAACAATTGATTAACAACATCCAAAAACACTGTATGCACTAAAAATGAGTTAACATGCCCACTGCAATCAGGTTGTAATGCTGTAAACACTATACTCAGAACAGATCTTGCTTCCTCATCACAACATTCATCAGTGATGATAACAGTGATTTTCTTGTCTTTAAGCTTCAGTTTTAAGTTTTACTTTTCTTTGAGGAACACTTCAAGTAAGCATGTCTCTGTCAGTTGTGTCCTACCAAGAGTTGCACCACCATTCCAGACTTTATTGTCAAGAAATTTTCTTCTAAGCGGATGGTAAGTCTTTGACAAGGGAATGCTGGCACCCATGCTGCACAAATCTGAAAGCAGACGTTAGATCAATCTTGAGGGAGCACAAATGTTTACAATACAATCTAAAATCTTTAATCTCAGATTAGTAGATTTATTTGTATTATATTTAGTTCTGAATTTCTAGATTTCAATTTAGATTGATAATATAATAAATTATCCCATAATTTTGTATACACACACAAATATTTACTTATTTGGCTTATGTCCCTATCCAAGAAGACTCATACTCAATAACAATGTGTTATTAGATTGCAATCAACTATAAAACATCATATGAAAAACAGTGCAAAAATCATAATGTAGTGTGAAAACTGACCCTACTCATCACTTAAAAAAAAGTTTAAAAACAGAGTTTTCTATTCAAAATCTCAGAGCAAATAAAGAGACCCCTTTGCTATGGCTGTTCCATGCTACTTATCTTATTTCTCTGTACTAAAACATTTTTGTGTATTTTCACTCACCTCCACACAGTCTTTCTGCTGGTGTTCTGTTTTTCAGTGTACTTGTAATGGTCTTCTGATGATTGTTTCTGTCTTCCCCTTGAGCTGCAGCTTCCTTCAATTTATGGGGGGTTTTGTATGCAAAATGATCCACAATTACAGACCATCGGTCACGAATGAAACAACATTGCAGGATGTACAAATAATTTGTCTCCAATTGCATGTGGTCTTGTAGGGAATTCTCAAGCACAAAGAGCTGTTGTAGCTGGTTTTGATGAATGATGCAAAGGCCATTCATATCGTGCAAAATAATTAATATCCCTTTGGTAACTTCTCTGGACTTGGCTGGCTACTTTGGAAAGAACTTGGTTCTGACAGTTTATTGACTGCTTAATAAATGATTTATTTGCCCTGAAAGTCTATTTTTTTAAATAGGTAAGTAAAATAGATGCTGAGCTGTAAATCTAGCCCCAATGTGCCATTCTGGCACAGGAGAAAAATGAGAAAGTATACAGATCTTTCTAGCTGAGGATTCCCTTCCTGTCATTTACTACAATACGGCTCCTTTACACCACTCTAGCAACGTAAAAGAGCTTTACAATTTGTACATTGTTTTAGACTCCTGGGAGATTATATAGATTCACAGACAGTAACATTTAGTTATTTTATTATTATAGTTAACTAAGAGTGGGAAAAATTAACTGACAGTATTAGAAGTCTGTTTACTTACGCTATGGCTGCACTAAACAACTTTTAGCAACATGGCTGTGCGGCTACAGCCATGCCAATAAAAGGCGTGCAATGTCGCTACTGTTTGTCTCCTGCTGACAAACAACTTCCGCCCTCACCCACAAGCAACAACGGCTGTGCTGGCAGGAAAGTACTGCTGCCAACAAAGCGTTTTTTGCACCGGTGTTTTTCGTTGGTAAAACTTAAGACAAAGCCTTAGTTGTTACATTTTTGCTCTGCCTCAGGAGACCGCGCCAAGCTCATCAAGTTCTACACCTCCAAGCCAGGAGCACTGCAATAGCGAATGAGAGGGACTGAATCAGTCCGACCCATTCGCACCCAGGCATGCCTGTAGCTCCGCCCCCAAAGTCTCTCCACCCACGCATGTCCAGCCCACCTCCCTGTCCCACCATTCCCCACGGTGATTTACATCTCTGCAAAATGCTTTGGGGAGATGCATGTGAGTCACTAGGGAAGGGCCTCCAGTTCCCCATAGCGTTTTTTGCTCCCCCATTTTACTCAGGAAAGCAAAGAAATCCACAGACGGTATGGATTCTGTGCTCCCTCAGTTGTGCAATTCCCACGGGAGTAAAGTCTTTTTCTGAAAAAGCCAGCGCCAGTGTTAAGGGATAGTGAGCAATTCCCTGGGGCTCCATACCACAGGGGAGACCCTGAAGGGCTAAGTTGCTCAGGCTTCAGCTTCAGCCCTGGGTGGCAAGACTCAGGGTCTCAGGCTTCTGCCCCATATGTGGGGGCTTCAACTTTCCACCCAGGGCTCCTGTGAATCTAATGTCAGCCCTGTTCAGTGGACTCCTGGAAACCTGCCTGCAGCCCCTGAGAGGTTCTGGACCCTTGTGGAGAACTGCTGAATTATATGATCAGGCATTTGGCCAGCTGCATCAGAAGGTACAAGAAACCCCAGGAGGGTGAACCCAGCCTATAATGAAGCAGAACAGAAAAGGGATGTGGCATGGGGGGTAGTTACCTCTGGCTCATCCCGCCAGTCAATGTTCAGATCCCCATCGAAGCCTTTCAGGGTCAGTCCCAAGCCTCTCCTTCCCTTTTGATTGGAGGTCTCAACGATATCTTTCCTTCCCTGGCTGTATTTCCCCAGACCTTCTCCTTCCCGGAAGCCCATCTTGGCCTGGAAAAAAAAGCAAATGGAGCACATTGGAAGCATCTGGACACACATGTTCTCCTGTATGCTGTGGCCCAGCGAGATAAATGATACCAAGTTGCACTGCTGTGATTAAAAAGTTTGGAGTGTGCTTAATGAATCTCAATTAAGGCTTTCAGGAGTCTTCTTCTGGCTCATTCCCATGATGATGTGGGAACTGGATCTGGAGAATTAAATGTGTAGACACCATCATTAGAGCAGGTTCAGCTCTACAAGAACAACCTGCTTCAATGAAAAAGCAGTGGGGAGGCCAGCAACCATTTGTCACCACAGAGCAGGGAAGGTACAAGCTCTGCAAAATGCTGGTGCAGAAAGTTTCACACTGGGATGAATCTGGTTGAGAACAGACAGATGCAAAAGAACATAAGAACTGCCATACTGAGTCAGACCAATGGTCTGTGTAGCTCAATATTCTGTCTTCTGACGATGGCCAATGTCAAGTGCCCCAGTGGGAATGAACAGAACAGGTAATCATCAAGTGGTCCATCCCCTGTAGCCCATTCCTAGCTTGTGGCAAACAGGAGCTAGTTGGGACACTATTCCTGCCCAACCTGGCTAACAGTCATTAATGGCCTATCCTCCATGAACTTAGGGTTTTCTTTTAATGCCCATAATTGCCAGCTAAAATTTCACCTGTAAGAAACTGCAGCAATGCAGGACCTTCTCCCGCTTACATACACTTTTATGACTTAGCCTCAGAGAAGAATTATCATTAACTTGCACTTCTCAAGGCTTTTCTTTTTGTAGGTCTCAGCCATGGAACTGCGAAAAGAACCTACATGTTTAGGTCTCATTCCGTTCAGTAGCGGACAGTAATATTCTCTCTCTCTCTCTCACACACACACACACTTAAAACATGGGCTTATAAGGAGTCAATGTAAATTACTAGATGATCTATTTCTCTCACCATCCATGTGAAAACTAGCAAAAATCAATTCCAGCCATTCCAAGTGGGGAAGTTAAACACATAAGATGGGCAAGAATGTATCACCACGGCCTGCCTGTCTACTGTCTATTCTATCTGGCAATGAACTCCTAAGAAACACCTGGTCAAATCTGACAGCTACAGAATTACTTACAGATTAACATCTATGGCCATTGAATTTTGAACAAAGATTTAGTACCACAGGGGTTTTGGTTTTTAATTTCCTGCTAGTACAAAATCATTAGTCTCAATTTGACAGACACCATCAAATCTTTATTCCGAACAGAGTAAAAATTAAAGTTCTCACATACAAGTGTTTGACTCTCAGGGTAGCAGGAAGGATAGTTTAACGGTTACAGCATTGAACTGGGATACAAGAGAGTTGGATTTGATTCCTGGCTCATCCACAGATTTCCTGTGACACCATGGCTGTGTCTAAACTGCATCCCTTTTCCGTAAAAGGGATGCAAATTAGACACATAGCAATTGCAAATGAAGCGGGGATTTAAATCGCCCCCGCTTCATTTGCATAAACATGGCTGCCACTTTTTTCCGGCTTGGAGCTTTGCCGGAAAAAAGCGCCAGTCTAAACGGGGATCTTTCGGAAAATAAAGCCTTTTCCAAAAGATCCCTTATTCCTCTTAAAATAAGGAATAAGGGATCTTTCGGAAAAGGCTTTATTTTCCGAAAGATCCCCATCTACACTGGCGCTTTTTTCCGGCAAAGCTCCGAGCCGGAAAAAAGCGGCAGCCATGTTTATGCAAATGAAGCAGGGGGGATTTAAATCCCCACTTCATTTGCAATTGCGATGTGTCTAATTTGCATCCCTTTTACTGAAAAAGGACGCAGTCTAGACACAGCCCATTAGTAAGCCACATGCTTGTGTTTCCCATGCGCAAAATAGAAACAGAACTTCTCTACCTAACAGGAGTGTTGAAAGCATAAGATCCTTCCTAAAATGTTTGTGGTGCTTAGACACTATGGTGGTGAGAATGAGATATTTATTTGTCATAATGTAGGACCTACAAGCCCTAAAGGTTTATATAGAACTGAATACACAGAGAAAGACTCTCAACTCTGCTGTCTCCTCGAAGAACAGGGAAACAGTTAGGGCCTATTAGAAAGAGAAATCCATGGCAGGGGGTTGTTGATCATCTTTAAAGCTGTGCTAGTGATGATGGTAGTCTTTCTATGGAGATGCAGCTCTAAATCCTCGATGCAGCGCCCTCTTACATGGTGCGCATAGCTTAAATAAAACAAAGCATAAGTGCTTTTTTTTGCAGGCGGTTAAATATAAATTTTATTTCATCTTTTCCCAAACTACAAAAGGATGTGCCAGTGCATGAGAAACAAACCAAAAGAAATTCTGATTTCACAGCTAGGGTTTTCAGTATGCAAATCTTCTCAGATGCTGTCCCAGATCATGAAGTTTAACAATCCCAGCATCCAGATGCAGCATGCCTTAGTTTTCAGCCTTCAAACTGACCACATTATAGTATCAATATTCTGCTCTCCACTTCCTGGTCTGAACATCCTGATTTCATTCTTAGGGCAGCAGTCCCAGTTCAGTAAGGTGTGCCTTACCTGCACACGTAAGGCTTGCAATCTTTCAGAACCACTCACCATTTACAAACTCAGGAAAGCTGCTCTTACCTGACCCTTCCCCTGCCCTGACTGGCCTAGACCAGGGATGTTAAAATGCATCTATTGGTTTAAACATGTAACGGCTGAATTTTTAGCAGTTATACATTTCCATGCAGGGGGAGGAAGGTGGGAGCCAGAGCTTGCAGGGATCTGACTTTTAAGCTGGGTCCCCACCAGCACTGGCTCCCATTTCGTTCTCTCCCTCTCCCCACCATCTCTGTGGAAGGCAGAAACGCAAGGGGGAAGACAGGCGACTCCACAGGAACCAGCATCCACAGGAGCCTGTTTAAAAGCCAGCTCTCACCTGCCCCCTTCTCCCCCCGCCCCACACTGCTGCTTCTGATAGAGAGGCAGCAGTGTAGTAGGGGGAAGGGGCAGTTGGCTCAGCGGGAGCCAGTATGTGCAGGGAGTTCAAGGGGGCAGCCAATGTTCGCACCTGCCCACCCTGCTGCCTCTGTGATACAGATGCAGTGGGGGGAGGGAGATGCGTGTAACCAAGAGGGTTAACCATGTACTTGGATACATGCTCACATCCCTAATCCACTCTGTCTACCTCGCCAAGCCTCAATGTATCTTTTCATTGTTGGGTTAGTTCAGATTTTCCTGGCTAATTATTATCATGACAACCTGAACTAATTTTCAGGTGCCAGCACTCAAACTCTTGCAATCTATTTAATTCCCAAAGAAAATGAAAAAAGAACTAGCATGGGGTAATGCTTCAACATAATTAGACAAAATGTGCGTGGGAGAGGAAAGGGAAATATTATTCATGCTCCATTTGTATCACTTTTATTCAATAATATCTCATGCAACACTAGAGTTTTAAAAACTGCAGACGCTTTATAAAAAGATGAAAAACCTTCCCTACCTCATACAACTCTCAATTTTTTATCTGTCTTAATACTATAAACTGGCTTTGCCCTTTAGCTAGTAACTTACTTTCAGTAAAAACAGAACCTTACTCCCTACTCTATACAGTTGTTCCTGGGTCTGTTTATTGTACCAACTAGCTTGTCTAGTTTGGGCATCCTCTATCTTTTTTTTTTTGCTACAATGGAAGTGCTTCTGCAAGTATGTTCCTCGTGTTTAATATAATAATAAACAATGCTGGAGAAATCAATCCCTTGTCTCTCCCAGCTTTCTGTGATCAGGTCTAATGGCAGGCTGCTGTACAACAAATGAAACGGCATTCGTAGGACTTCTCAATATGAAAGTAAGAGATAAAGCAACACAGTATGCCATTCTCTAGGTGCCAACTACGTATCTTTTCAACATCTTTTTGAGGGATTGAATAATCCTTTCCACTAGGCTACCCCATCTGGGAATAATGAACCATCCAGGTGGTTTAATGTCCAAGAGTTGGTACAATTCTTATCAGATGTGCCTGGAATTTCACTCCTTGATCCATCCAGATCTCTCCTGGGATTCCTATTGGTGACCCCAAGAACTACTTACTGCCAGCTGGCAAAGGGTTTACTACTTAAGCTATGTCATTAAAACTTTTGTCACCCAAGAGTGTAGAAAAACACCCTTAAGTGACAAATTACACTAACAGAAGCACCAATGAGTACAGTGTAAGGTCAGCAGGGGATGCTCTCCCACTAGCTTGCTAATGCCATTCATTCAAGGTAGTTTAATTATGCCAATAGGAAAGCTGTCTTCCATCAGCATAGAGCAGCTACATAGGAAACTTTACAGCTGTGGCCTAGAAGGTCTCTAGTACTGACATAGGAACTGCTGCCATTAAGGCTAACAGGCCTGAAATACGCTACTCCTATTACTTATGGGCAGGGCTCACCAAGTGGCGGTGAGCCCCGCTCGCCAGCCGTGCGGTTCTGCGAGCTGCGCATGTGCAGACTGTGCTGCGCCGGCTTGTAATCTACTCACCACTGGCAAGTAGATTACATGATTTGTCAAGCACTGCTTATGGGATAAATACCATGAAAGTGGTGTGCCTTGAGCAATGTCAAACAAATGTTGTCATTATACTGGTCATTAATATGGCTGTGACCAGTGTTCCCTGCAAGCTGAGCACTTGGGCAGACACCCAGGAGAAATTCAAATGCCATACAGCTGATTAGCAGACTGCCAACACTACCCACATATGTCAGCATGTGTTTCTATAGGTGGTGCATATCCACACATGCCTTGGTACACGTAACACTTGTTCTGCACATAGATGGAAAAAGTTAGAGGGAACATTAGTCAGCACACCAAAAAATTAACAAGGGGGACATTTCAAATGTTTACAGGACTATACCTGGGAGTGTCCATTTATATAGGAAATCACTTGAATGGGACAGAGTATTCGCAAAAACATGGATCCTGGTTCTGACTGAAAACTAGCAGCACTGTCAACGATTAAATCCTTTGGAGAAAATCTTCATTAAATAGGAAT